CCCCAAAACCCCAAAACCCCAAAACCCCTTAAAGATAAAATTCCTAAGATAATTATCATCGTAAAAATAATCTAAGTAACTGTTTTTTTATAATTAAAAATCCTCTATTTTTTAATAAAACTTTAAATTTTATACTAACTTGTATTTAAGTTATTCTCAGATCTTGAAATTATAGCTAATAAATTGAACAATTTATTCTCAAGATGGCTTGCTTGCAGAATCATTAACTTGCAAATAGACCAGGATTGACATTAATCTTATGATTTTTAGGAGTTTTCGCTTCAGTTTTATTCTATTGTTATACCACATTCACTGCATTTTAACTTAGCTTTTTCTAAGCAATCAATATTTTAATGTCAAATTCATTCATCTTTGCAGTGCTTTGGTGCTTTCTCCTTTACAATCTAGTAACTGAGATCTGAGGTTCTTGCCCCGAATTCTAGGTAGCATAAGTCAACTTGTTTTAAAAGGGAAACTCATCTAAATAACCTTCACTTGCTTTTAATTATTCCACTACTCCAAAGCCTGTTGAATGCCGAGCTGAACTAAATCTAGAATCTAGTCTTTAAGTTCCACTAAATGCGGAATTGATATCATTATGACCTTGCTTACTCTTTAATGGACTATAGTTTTCTCCGATTGATTTAAATGGATCCTAATACTTTAGAGCATGCTACTATTTAATTTCTTCATTAGTTTTCTTCCTTTCATTCGTATCAAATTTTAGCCTGTTAAACACATTCGCAAATTTGTCCAGTCTGTGACTTTCACACTGCTGTTGATATAGTTTCCTCTTTTTCTGTAAAAATGGATCTCTATTCACCCAGAGGAGTTTGTGTATGTAGTAGTTATAAGTCTTTATAAACTTTTCCAGCTACGTCAACTTTGTCTTTTCCTCGTTCTCTGTTATCAACTGAGTCACATTTACATTCTTCTTCTTTCTCTCTTCGAAATTCATTTGCATCTTCTTTTTTTCGTTCATTCTTTTGAGAACTGTTTCATACTTAAGCTGCTGAGGATGATATCCATAATAATCATCCAGCATTTTCTTCACCTTTGCGAACTGTCTGTCATTGACGATTTGATTTTTATTAGGATCAAATATTAGATCTAGAAAGTTCACAATCTCCTTTTAGCCATGAGCATTTAAATCTGCCTATGTGTTGTCTAAGGTAGAGTTGTCTTCTATTCTAGAAATGTCATGATCATCCTTGTAAATATTCATTATCTTTCTGTTTATCTCCTCGTCTCTTGAAAACTCAAGCATCTGATTATTGTGAGTGGATGTCTGATGGAAAGACCTGTTGTTAATCTTAGACTGAATATGACTGTATTGATTAGGGCCATCCAAGAATTAATCCATAAGATCATCTAGTTCATCTTCTCTTCCAGCCATTTTCTACTTGTAATCCTTTTGGATGTCATATAGAAAGGTGTTCAAGATATTCTCAGTTTTGGTATTCTACTTCTTGAGTCCTAATTTGCGCTGAATCAATGTTGACAGTAGATTCATTCGGTAGTCCATCATGCTTTTATGAGCAGCATCATATTCTTGCTTAATCCATAAGGATTCATTTAAAGTCTTCCCAGCTAGCTGCTTTTATCTTAAGACCTTTAACTTTTGATTGATAATGTCTGCAGTTTATTGAGACTATACTTATTCATTTTAGGCCTCCTAGATCAAGGGAAATTCATTCTGCTTAAACTCAACTGATTTGTTCAAAAGACTTGTTTCCTCCCTTCCTATTAATGTTATTTTCTTGGCCTCCATCATGTCTTTTACTTTTTATGAGTGATTATCTTTGATATTTGGAATTGCAGATGATTCTTTGGCGGTTGTAGTTTTTCTTTTCTCTAATGCTAATTTGTCAGCAGCATACTTGTCAAACAGTTATTGCTTGATCTGCTAATAACCCATTTAGCTATTATGTCTGGTTGGAGCAGCATTCTTTCCAGCTTTGATTGAATTTACTGATAGTTCGTCTGTAATAGTTTACTCATTATTTTATTCCTCAATACTTGCACCTCCTTTACTAATAAATTTCATGGGACTGCCTTGACTGTATCCAGCTGACAAATTAGCACTTCGATTATTTATCCTACTATGTTTGGATCCAACAGTATGTACATCATGTCTAGTGTAATGAGAATCTATATAAGATCGATTGTCTGCAGCGGTTGTTGATCCCTCATGATCCGACATAATTTGGCTAAAGTTAGTAATATTCTAAGCTTTCAACCTAATGTTCATTGTAGTGGTGCTATTGGGATTATATGCTCTGCTTGATTTCATTTTCATTGGTGACTTCTTCAGCTCCTCATTTATATTATTTTAATCTTTATAGATTGACTGATTATAATCGTTGGCACGATTTATATTAGTTAATCTTTTTATGTTGTGAGTGGATTTGGGCATTGAAATTTACTAAGTCATGTTAAAGTTATGACTGGTCATGTTCATGCTCGTTTTATTGTTGAAATTATTTTAATTTTCAGTCGATAAGCTAGCTCCCTGGGTTTGATACTCTGTCACATTCCTTGAATTTAATGCAATTTAATTTTAAGGTATCCTTAGAGGGGCAAGCTCAGCACTTGAATTCTTCTAGTTTGATTTGTTCCTTATCTAGTTTAAAGTAAGAGCAGGTCTTAGAGCATTTGCACTATCAGCCATAGCTACTACATTAATAGCTTAAGGAGGGATTTCGTTGGGTTGCTAATGCAAGAAATTAAGCATCATTTACCTTCGTTTATGATTGGAAATTTTAGCACCGGGTGAAGCTGTGAGAAGGCGATTGGTATTCTTTAAAGTTGAAGACTCAGAGTAGTTCTAGCTAGCTGCATTCAAATGAGTAGACAAAACTGCTATTTTACTCGACTGCTTGCTGATTTTATTGAGATCTTGGCGATTGATAATCTGATTATTCTCATGGGAATTTTATCTCATTTTTATTAAAATTTAGCTAGACTTAGAAGATTTTGTTAATTCTACAACTTATATTTATTTCAGTGCCAAGGGGTTTTGGGGTTTTGGGGTTTTGGGG